ATTATAGGAAAATACCATAACACCTTTTCCGGAGACAACTTTTCCTTATATCGAGGGGCACCGCATTTAGGACACTCATTTAACACTGCGTACTCGTTTCGAAATAAAACGCAATCTTTTGGATATGCATGTATCTTTTCATAGCTCATGCCAATAGAGGACAACATCTTTTTGGCCTCATACGTTCGATTGGGAAGAACATTATCCTCTGGTAGCATTTCTTTCACGAGGGCTAATAACTGTGTGAAACTTTTATCCGACCATCCGTTGTCCGCCTTTAAGTTGTACAACTTTAACACCGCAGACAATCTTGTGAATTTTGTACAACCATCATACAACGGTTTCTCTGCATCGCTTACCAACCTCTCGAACATTTTGGGACAATCCTCAAGATCTTCTTCAAGCGCTTCTGCAATCTCTTCGACTCGATCATAATCGTATGCGTCTGCGAAATCCTCATTTGAAGCATACGTCGTATTATAACTCGATTCAACATTCCCGCTACTTTTCTCACCATGCAAATTCCAACATGCATAACTTCTATCAATTCCATGCATCAGTAAATGCGATTCCAACTGAACTGCGTCAACCCGTCTCCCATAACAGCATCTCAAGCAAGGACATATCATTCCATTGGGTTCTCTGGCGTGCGCAACGGCAAACTTAACGAATTCTGATACCCCATCCTCATACTCTTTCGACAATCGATTGGCAGTCATCCATTTTTTATCCATGGTTTGACTATAGCAACTAATTAGTCACGCAACTATAGCAAAATAATAATTAATTACCTGTAAAGAAATTCAACATATCAGGTAATCAAATTCATAGTTATTCTTGCCTCACCTTAAGCATGTGCTAAACAACTCATAACTAATTACTAACTAGTGAAGTCGGATACTAGTGATTCAGTCTTGGATACAGGTAATAACAATTATATTCAAACAATAGTGAAGTCGGATTTCAAACCTTACGGTAAAGATTTCATCGGAGGAGAAGCAACCGGAAGATTTAGCAACGGAAAAATCCCGTCAGATATTTTTGGTATAGTCCTATAGTCCTAAATTCTAACATCTACACGCTAACTAATGTGTTGCATGGTTCATTGTGTTTAAGATTTTCATTGATGTTTGATGAATCTCTGAAACGTGCTCGTTTCAATGCTATCAATACTGCCATACTGCCATATACAGCCCTATACTGCCATAACAGTCTAAATATAAACAAAAACACAACCGCAGCTCATGAATTCCACTCAACTATAATCATTAGAAATTCACACTGAGCCGGAAAATAAAAGTAAAAACAATCAGTTATTCAAGTCAGTTCAAGAATAGGATAGAAACCTTTGAAAATGTTGAGAGCGTCCCGCGTACACTACGATCAAGGACAGTTCGAATTTCTTCAATCGGAGAAAGTTTCACAGCTTTTTCCTACCATAATAACACTTAAAATCAATCTCCCACAAAGGAGTCACACACAAATTTAAATTACAATAACTGATGTAATTTTTATCTAAAAATCGATATTAAATCGTTGAACTATCACTCATTTTTATCTCATTAAGAATCGAAAAGGCCTCGTCAATCATGTTGCTCCTGCAATACGCAGCAAGCAATGCCGTGTATAGTTCAGGAGTAGGGTCACAACCCTCTTCAATCATTGTGGTAAAAAGCTGACGGGCACGGTGGGGTTGGCCTGATTTTCCAAGTAGCACAAGGAATTTCATGTAAGTCCCTTCTTTGGGTTGGTAAAAGGATTGTTCTTTGAGCATGTCAAATACCTGCACAAATGGGTAAGTAATTTAACAAAGTAGAATCAATCATCCAAATTATACAACAACAACAATAATTAAACCTTACCCCGCTAAATGGGGTTATCTACATAGATCAACTTTCGTCATAATATTTTATCCAGGACCATGCTTCTATCCAAATCGTTAATCTCGAGATCTTTCTTAATAACCTCTCTTATAGTCTTTTTACGTCTTCCTCTTCCTCTAGTTGTTTGACTTTTCTCCATCTGATCTACTCTCCTTACCACATAACCTACGAGCCTTCTCTCTGCATGCCCAAACCCCCTAAGTCTAATTCCCACCATCTTTTCTACTATAGGCTAGGCGCTACCCCAACACTCTAATATTTTCATCCAAACTATACTAATAATTATAAGTCGTATCAGATACAAATTGACTTATTTGAATTTATCTACTGACGTAAACATTTGGTACAAGCTTATGACAATGTCCATATGCTTATGAAAACAACATATATTATGAAAACAGTTTCACCTAATTTCATCTTTTCCTATAGAAATAGCTTATACGGATAAGTGATTATGCAATAAGCTTTAATTAAGCTGTTTATCCAAACATGACCCAACAGTGAAACATACAAAAATTAATGAAATAGACAGGAAAACTGGCGAGTCTATATACCTCAAGGGCTTGAAGCCACTGTTTCTTGTCCATGCGTTCAGATAAAGCTTCGGTAACAGTGTTAACCCAAGCCTTAGCATTGTTCTTTCTCTCCAATTTTTTCTTCAGATTCTTAATGGGGCCCCTCCTCGTGCTTCCCTCAGATTGGGAAAAACCCGGAAACTCGCCTTGTTTCCAGTGTTTCTTTTTGACAACTGAAGAGGAATTAGAAGCGGGTTTTGAGGGTGGAGGTGAAATTGCGCAGTGGGTTATACGAAAGGTTGAAAGTTGGGGTCTTGTGGGGGTTTTGGTGCATTTGGGTTGGGGAATTGGAGAGGGGACTATGGAAGAAGAGAAGGTGAGAGAGACGGAAGCCATGTCCATAGTTTAGTGTAGGATTTTGAAACATACCTTTTGATACGACTCTAGACGAAAAAAGCTTCGTGCCGGCGAGGGTGAGATGGAGAAGACGATGAACAGGGCTTCGTTCTGATATTTCGTTTTGGGTTTCGTGGGTATTCTGAACTGTGCTGTTCAATATTTCATTTTATTTAATTTTGATATTTGAGCTACCACGGCGCTTTTAGCCTAAAAAGCGCTTTAGTAGCATCAGACCCTATGCCAGCGCTTTTGAAAGCGCTTTCAAAGGCCAATCTTCCACAGCGTTTTTTAAAAAGCGCCTTCATAACCCTATTATTTCGTTTTTATTAATATTTTTATTTGACCTACCACAGCGCTTTTAATGTAAAAAGCGCTTTCGTATCCCCCACCTATGCCAGCGCTTTTAAAAAAGCGCCTTCGTAGGTTTCCCTTTTTTTTAATTTTGTTTTTTGTGAAGGCTATGGCAGCGCTTTTTCAATAAGCGCTTTAGTAGAGGCGCTGCAAAAAGCAGTTTTTGGCGTAGTGTTTGGATCGAAATAAATTGTTTAATGATACTCAAAGCTTCCACCAACCATAGTTTGATTCCTCGAAGATTAAGAAATAGGTGATTGGAGATGACGATCCCCTCTAACTTCACTAACTTTCTCTCATCTCCCATATTTATAGAGAAAGTAATTGTTGCACTGACTTTTTTTGAAAATATAGACATATGACACATATTTCACGTTATTATTTTGACCCTATCTCTATAGGAATTAGAGGGAGTTTTGTAAAAAAATATATTAGGTATACTTTTCTTTTAAGTTTTCAGTTTTTTGATGGGTTTAACTTAGATCCTCTTAGTACTCTTATTTGTAACATCTTTATTTTTTATTATATCAGCCCTTATTAAAAAAATCAAATTTAACTTCACTTAGAAAATGAAAATAAAAAATAAAATAAAAATGAAGGGACGTGAAGGATGCAACTAGGTGTATATAAGAACCCTTTACTTTACAATTGTTTGGTGGAGAAAATTATGGAAACCATATTACACTGCTGAACCCAGCTACATTGAAGGCCTTTAGGCCCATTCCAATGTGAATTATTTATAAAAGTTACAATTCTTTCCATCTTCACAAATGTGTTAATCAAGGATTCATGTTCTTTTCTTTTCACACTGATTATATGGTCATATTAATAGAAACACATTTTATTTAAGATAGAGTATGAATTTTGTCATATAAATACAAGCTAAAAATCTGCATAATCATTTTATATCGAGACATCGGTTCAAATCTGCAATTCTCAAATTTAAAATATTTAGTTGGTAAATTTTGTTGATATACGAATTGAAACAATAAAAAAAATCTTTGTTAAAAGAGAAGGGTCAGAAAAAAGATAAATTATTTGCTTACTCATAAATTAAATTGAATATCTATATCTTTTATATCATTTTAAAATTTAAATTGATTCGGCAAAAATTTAAATGTATAAGAGTATTCCCTTATAAAAAATGTGAATTTCTGAACTTATTTCATGATTTTCTTACGTATTATGTAAAATTCTATAAAAAAATTTAAAATCAAAAGTATACTTCTTGCTATATCTGATAAAGTATATATAAAAATTAGAAATTTAATTCTGGTTAGAATCGAAAATATATCTCTAGTACTATTTTTTTGTATTTTGAAAGATGAAATCATATTTTGATCTATTTTGCATAAAATATAGTACGAATCGCAAATATATTTCTGATTTTTTGAAGGACAATTTTGTAATTGTATAAGATGTTTCTTTTCCATATAAAATAATATAAAATAGGAGAAGAAATTTCCAAAAAAAATTTATGGGGAGTCATAATCCTGTGTTCCCTATTTCTAATAAAGAGAATAAATTATGTTTAAATTGCAGTGGTCCATAAAGTGGGATGATATTCTTATCACTTTTTTTGAAAAAGCAATTCACTATCACAAAAGATCCATCAGCACGTTATTCCACAAGAAAGTTCTGTGCAACTTACAAATACTTTTCAATATTCCAAACACTGTCTATTTGGTACAACAATCAAGGCACGTTTCTGCCAAAACAATAGTATATGAAAATTTACAATCAACCCTTTTATTTTCCAATTGAAATAACTCACTATACCACATTAAATAATTAATTCCTATGGTAGAAAACAATAGGTTTTCCTGGCCTAAGAAAAACATACACAATTTCTTCAACCAAAAAGAGCTGCATGAAGAAGAACATTCCATGTATCAGGAAGCCCTGGAAGACACCAATGACTACAATCTGTTGACATAACACCACTATACCCTTCTGGATGTGCGTCTTTTCTGTACTGTGAAAGTGTTGTTACATCTAGAAAATACACTGGCTTCTTTAATCTGTTCAATACTTTGTTCACTATCACCCAAGCCATTGGTGTTCCTGCTGGATACTTTAAGCCAAAAAATGGTTGTGTCTCGCTCATGCACGACTTCGCTGGTTGATTCCAATCTCGACCCCTAATTTATCAAATATCGTAAGTTTGCAAAATTTAATCCGTCTAACTCAATTGATAAATACATGACAATAATTGTGTTTAGCATCTGACATGTGTTAGTATTTGTCTATATGATAATGACACGATACATGTGATTATGTATTATCAGTGTTGATGTGTCATGTGTTATCCGTGTTATGTTCTATAAACACGTGATCAATTAAATTGATGTATTTACTTACTCATAATGCACTGGAGAAATTCCGAGAAAGAAGACCTTGGTTTGGGTTGGATTTACATTGATGTTAACCCATCTAGCCCAAGTTGTCAAGCCTTTGTAGAATGCAATGAATCTGTTCATGTCTTTGTACAACTTGCCACCTTCTTGAATATAATCCCATCTATTCAAATGTCAAAAAACAAACACAAGTAATTAATCAAAGTTACTAATCACCTCTTAATAGTAAAATTGATTACGATTATGATGTTAAATATAGATCCTACGGTTGTGCATTTCCGGTGTGGGTCCACCAATGCCACGTGTTAAAGATCAACACATCCATTCCTCTCCAAGCATCACCGCTCTTTATTGAGTCTAACTTTAATACATTCCCAACGTTTTCACGATCAAGGTCAACCAAGTATGGTGTGCGATATAGAAATAATTGGAGACCAAAATCCTAAAAAATAATTAAAATGACAAAATTTAATTTACAACCTATTAAACATATTTGAAATTTAGGTGGCTTGATCTTGATTAAACGATCAGATATTTTATGATATAAAATTGTGTGCTGTTAAAGACGGCCTGTGATCTGAATTTACGTTGAAGTAGAAACTTTCAACACTAATTGATGTAATTTTTTGCTTATAGATTCAATGAAAATGAAAAGTACTATGGAATATAAATAACTAAATAAAAAGGAAAATTTCTTCCTTCATCATGATTCACAATTATGTGGCCAATATATTGTGACACTTTGTAGTTTATTGACTTTATATAGCAAAAGCCGTGCAAGGAGAGGATTGCATCTGAATTAGGTCACCAGTGTCAAGTGGTCCATTTAGAAGGAAATAATTGAAGGATTAAGAACTAAATTACTAATTATATATTAATATTAAATTTATCTATCAAAATCAAAATTCAAAAAACATAATAACTTAAGACAAAAAACAAAAAACATAATAACTTAAGACAAAAAATGACTTTAAAATGAAGAAACAAAAACTTCTTTTTCAATTAGAGGATTAAAAATATAGTTAAATCTTTATTATATTACTACTATTGTTACTACAAATCTCAATTTTTTTTAGGTAGATAACTTGATTGATGCTTATATCAGGGGCAAACATAATAATAGAGCGAGTATTCAACTAAATAATTCAACTAGATATTTCTTGAAGTAAGAAAAACCAAAATCAAATTATAATTATTAATCATTCAAGTTTAAAAAGGGATAGTGAAAGAAGAATATATTAGCTGAGCAATGTTGTATTCATGATTTAGATAACACTAATGATGACTGTTGACTGCTAGAAAAAACACTAATTATCTCTAATTAACAAATTTGTCAACAAAGTTTCTATATAAAGCAAAAAGGTATTGGTAACTACAACCATACACTACTATATGTCACTTTGATTTTGTTAAATTCATCCTTAATTCAAGCTTACAAGCATGTATTCATTTTTTGGGTCTAGCTTATTAGAGAAATCAAACTATAAAAAAAAATTATTAAAATTTACAGTACTCAATGGAGTATATTTGATTTTTTTATATAAAAATATATTTTAAAAACTATTTACTTGATAAAAGTTTAAACAAATGCTAAAAAGCGTATATTAAATAATCAAAACATAAAAAGATAAATGAAAAAGACTTACTTTTATTCTTGTTTTTTCCTCTGTTTTGATATGGAAAAGTAATAATATGTTATTATAATTATATATTCTTTTTTTCTTATAAATGTTATTATAATTATATATTCTTTTTTTCTTATAAAAATACTTTTTAAACTTTAAACTAATTATTGACTTAAAAGAGATATTATCCCATTCAAGTATTTTTAAATAAATATTTTATTTTTTAACAATATTTTAATAAAAAAATTGAATTATTACCATGCCATGGTAATTTATTCATGATAGATTCACATTTATTATTCTTTAGTTTAAATGTCCCGGCAAAGGGAAAAATCCTCCACCAAACCCGTTTTACACTTTATTGTTCACGCTCCACTGTTTCACACAGATTTTAAATTACAATAATTTTCACCACAAATTTCGCAGTTGTTTCATAAATCTGAAGAAAATAAAAAAATGAGTTCACACAAGAAAATTACCCAAAAAGTTTCCAATTTAGGGGAAAAACATAAAGGCAAAGAGAAAAAAGAAGACACCAATTACATGGACACAATTAATCACCAAACATAACAAACATCATTTCATTACATTAAATTCAAAGTTTTCAAAAATAGAAATTTCAAATAAAATTTATAAAAAAAAACATAAAAAGTTATAAAAAAAACATAAAACAAACCTGAAATGTTATTGTGGAAATTGCACTTTGCTTTGAGAATGAAGTTCTTGTTTTTGGCACCGAAGAATGAATCATACATGCCAATGAATTGAACTGATTCAAACTCAAAGAATCACCCACAAACATAATCTTCTTTCCTCTATACTTTGCTAGAAAATCCAATGCATTGAACCTAAGCAAAAAAAAAACATACAAATTCAAACTCATGATACAAACTTCTAACTCACACTTGAGACGTAGTTTCAGACATAAAAGTTAGTTATGTTATCGGTATAACTAACTTTTATGTCTGATACATACGAAATAGAATCGAAATAGAATCGAAATAGAAGTTAGTTATACCTTGGTAAAGAACAAGTGAGTGGTTGCCATCTATATTTCTGATACTGAGAATCAGGTCGACCGTATTTTTGACAGTTGAATTGTGGATCTATGAAGGGACAAGAAGAAGGATCATAGAGAGGATATGAAGCGTCATAGACCCATTTTCCACGGAACAGATTGCATGTTCCTGCGAGCTTTCTTTCATTACTACTATTAGAAATGGTAGTTGCTGTTGTTATTGTTGTGTTGAAGTTGTTGAGTTGATGAGCTTTTGTTTGTTGGTTAGAAAATAGAAGAAGCAGAGATAAAAACAGAGACAGTAACAGAAAACCCATTTTCTTGGGTTTCGTACCTTACTATGAAGAGGTTTCTGTTGAAGAAAAAAGGACCAAGAGTGCAGAAAAAGTTGTCTGAAACAATGCCTTTTATAATGTTAAACTTAATCGTGTCTGTGACTAAGAGAGAGAAAATCAAGTTGTCATGTTATCGAAAGCCCGACGCTCGAGTCCGATGATCTAACTTCGAATTTTTTTAATGTATTAATATTAATTTTTGTGTTGAGTCAGTTCATACAGAATTTTGTTCCGATTAAAGAGACATCTGTCTATAGATGATGAAATTGATTCATTTGTATTAGTTTGGTTTTAAGACCAGATAATTTAAAAAGAAAAAAAAGAAAATTAGAACTATTTTTTATTTTTTATTTTTAATGATTTGTTTGTTTAATTATGGTTGCAGTCAGAAAGAAGAGAAGTTTGGATGGGTTTCTTTTAACAGAGGCATGTGGTGTGGTGGGGTTGGATCTGATATTGATTCTTTGCTTTTGAAAATTCTTAGGATTATTGTTATTTTGATTCAAGTCATGTCACATGTGCAAATTGATATTTTTTTCCTTATAAGTTAAAGTAATTCTTTTGTATATTTTTGTTTTTTTCTTACTGTTAAATGAATCTGTATTTTACTATTTTATAATTATAATACTAGCTCAAATTGTGGGGAGTTCAATTGTTTGGAGACTTTAGCTGCTGAAGAGTCAAATGCAACATTAATGTTCACTTCAACGTTTATTATTTTATTTTATTGAAAAATTTAAAAGAATATAAATCAATAAAATTCTAAATATAAAGAAATGTACAGTCACATTGATTCAAATAAAAACGGGTTATTCAAACGTAACATACAAAACAACAAACTGCAACTTCATATTCAACTCAAAAAACATATTTAACAACAAAGACAAATCAGATAACACCTAAACATATACATAAGCAAGATGGTGTTCCTTCTCTTTTAAATAGACTAAACATACACAAGCAAACAACAATACTAAGAAACAATAATTATTATACTAAGCAAGATCAATTATATGGGTCAAACTATGATATATAATTTATTAAGAATTATTTTTTATTTAATTAATTAAATTTGAAAAAAAATTTAATAGTATTTTTTTAGGTATTCATCTACCTCTATTTATATGAGTATTCTTTATACGTATGACCTACTCTTCTTACTAGTGAATTTATAAGCCATAAACTATGTGTCCAAATCATCTAGTCTAATTTTCACAATGTTTTCTAGTGTTTGTGTCACCCCAACATTATCTCTGTTGGAACAAGCACAAAATTTGAGTGGTGAATTAATAGGAAAATATTGTTAATTGGAGAAGATAAAGTGTATCTGTGTGAGAGAGAGAGAGAGAGGATAAATGGTAAAAATGACATTAACAAACCAACAATATATGATGGAGTATTTATTGAATACAAATATTACAAATTGGAACCAAAACATGCCCAAATACAGCTAAAAAATACAAAACATGTGCGAAAATCGATTTCCTAAAAGGGATAATCGATTTTCCCAACTAAAACCAGAAAAATATAAAGCTGGAAAGTTGTGGAAATCGATTTCCACATTCTAGGAAATCAATTTCCCCTTTGAAACTTCCAATTTCCAGATTTCCATAAGTGCTTTTTTAATAAGTTATTTTCAGGGAAACGTACCCAGAAGCTTCCACAATGCATTTGAGTTATTAAGGACTTCCAATACACCATCTTAATTTAAATGCTCCAAGTTCTTCATGCCCAAACTCATCACAAGCTTTTTAAACACCACATTTGTTACACTTTTCGTTAACAAATCCGCAACTTGTTTTTCACTTCGACAATATCCTAATCTCAGCTGGTCTGCACACACCAGACCCCTCAAATAATAAAACCTCATCTCAATATGCTTGCTCCTCCCATGTGCAATGAGATTCTTAATAAGGTTAATGGCTGAAACATTATCAACCAAGAGTGTGACAACTTCTTTAACCTTGTTGTCCAAATCTTACAGCATATTTATAAACCACACAGCCTGACACGCACACAGTGATGCAACGATATACTCGGCCTCACAAGAAGAGAGTGTCATCACAGGTTCCTTTTTAGAACACCAAGAGATTGGTGTTCATCCAAACATAAAGATATAACCAGATGTAGACTTTCAATCATCCTTATATCCGCACCAATTAGAATCCGTGTAACCGAGAAAATCATATTTTATACCTGTATTAGCTGCGAGAAAGAGAATTTCACAGCCAATAGTTCCTTAGATGTATCTTAGGATCTTCTTAACTGCTGCCAAGTGAGACACATTTGGTATCTCTATGAATCTACTCGCAATACCGACATTAAACACCGAATTTGGCCGCGTATTGCACAAGTAACATAACGATCCAATCAATATCTTATATTGTGTTGGATCCACGTTCTTCTCATCATCACTTTTGGACAATTGCAGCCTCGCTTCAGCAGATGTATTAACTACATTATAATACAACATATCACACTTTTTAAAAATCTCAAGAGCATACTTTCTTTGATTCATGAGCAGTCCCAATTTTGACTTGTGAAACTCTATGCCAAAAAAGTAAGTCATGATTCCAATGTCACTCATTTCAAACTCTTCCATAAGTTCACTTTTGAACTTAGAAATACTCACTTCATTGCTGCTCGTGATTAATAAGTCATCCACATATAAGCAAAGTATGATCACATCTTTGCTTGCATCCGTCTTCACATAGACACCATGTTCAGAAATACCTTTCTTAAAGCTAAGATTAACTAGGAAACCATCAATGTATTTGCTCAAAGGTCTAGAAGCTTGTTTCGAACCATAAAATATTTTCTTCAATTTGTAGACCCTTTCCTCTTGATTTATCACAACAAAACCAGGGGGTATTCTACATAAACTTTCTTCTCAAGTGGACCATTCAAAAACACGGATTTCACATTTATGTGATAAATCGACCAATTGTTGTTATTTGCAATACCAACATCTAGTCGTATGGTTTCTATTCTAGCTACAGGTGCAAATACCTCATCAAAGTTTATGCCTTCTATCATAACCGACAAAAAATAAGAGAGTCTCCACCATTAATTTGTATCCTAAAGACGGGGATTTAACGGATAACCCTAATCCATATAGAGATTCTAAATTCGTAAGTCAATTAGACGAAGGAAAGGTGTTAGGCACCTTTAATCGCCCTTGTTCTCAAGGAGCCCCGTTTTAGGTTTAAGGGTAAAATAGGTATTTGGTAGTTAATATTTTTATATATTTAAGAAAATAATTTATTTTTTTAGTTGTGAACTCGCCTTGGTATTAACCGCGTGCCTACATATCTCCTGGTGAAGAATCAGAGTCCAATTTCGTAGTTCAAATGTGTTTGGTTAGTTTTTTTATGAATTGTGGAAATGTTTGAAATTATCCTTGAACCTTGTCTGGGTTTGTAAATGGCGTAGTCGTAGACGCAATTCACAGTTAATATAAAATGTCTCCACAATCCTTTTTTTGAAAATAGAATTAATTTTGAATTAAGTTAGTAAAAAAAAAGTTAGCATTTGATGAGTTAGTTGTCTTAGAATGCACAGTGTAATATGTATAAAAAAAGAGTTTGAATGCTTGATAAATGAAAAAAATAAATGGTTAGTATTTGAAAAAATATTTAATAAATAACTATTTTTTATTATTAAAAATATATTAAATATTTTTAATATTAATCCAATATTTATTTATTAATAATTTTATGACAAAATGCCAAAAAAATATTTTAATGCAATATAGAAATGATAAAAAATAAAAAAGTAAAAAATTGAAATTAAAGAAATAAATAATTAAACAAATTAGCACAGGGGTGTGAAAATTAAGTTAGGAGGGTGTAAAAATAAAAAGCTTAAGCCCAAATTTAAGTCCAAAGGCGCATGGGTGTGTATTTTGGAACTTGGGTAGTAAAAGGGAGGTTTAAATAGCACTGCGCTTGAGCCCAGAAGATTGCGTAAAGGCCCAAAATGAACTATGGATTCGTTTGGGCATGATGTGGGAAGGAGCCTGCATTATGGTGAGGCAGCAATATCTCACGTGTTGGTTTCATCAAACGGTTCCCAAGATCCAATCTTGGAACGTTGGTTCGTTAGTAATCAGGATGGTGGCTATGATTGAAAGTTGACTGGGAGTATGGTGAGTACACTTGCAGGAGATGAGTCAGAGTATGTTGATCATGTGGCCATCATGAGGCCACGCGTCTTGGATCAGCGAATGAAGGAGACATTATAAAAGGAAAAATATGAGCTCTTGGATCATTTTTCCATTTCTCTCCTCTCTCTTCATAAAACAAAAATGTTATACGTTGGGAGGTAGAGAGAGAAGCTTTGGATTCTCTCTAGATTTCCTTTGTTGGAAATCATCTCTTTCCTGGGCGCCACCAGTTAGAAATCGCTTCTGCCGGTGACAACTCTAGGGCACCACCAGCTTCAACAATAATCACTATGAATTTTCAAGTCTTCAATCCAATCCCAACCCAGATCTTCATACCTTAATACAACCTTCATCCAAGATTCCAGAACCCTTCCTATCTCCATCTGGGTTCGCAAGAACCCTATGAAGATTAAACTTAACCCTAACAATCTTTATCCAAACCCTGACCCTACTTCCCTAACCCTAACCAAATCATCAAATCCTAAGCTATTCGTACCTAACCCTAACCCAAATCACCAAAACCTAGCGTGTTTTACCCTAACCCTAACCCAACCGGAAAAAAAAAGAAACCCTAATACAAACAGAAATCAAAGAAGAGAAACACCAACCAACATCAACAAAATAAGAAACCCTAAGCTAAGTTTTTTAGGATTACCGTCCGTGCAGTGAAACTTTTTGTATTAAATTCATCTTTTGGTTTTCTTCTTCTAATCTCTTTCTCTTTCTTTCCTTTGTTTCAGGTATGATGAAGACGGAGGCACAACAATGGACTTCTCTTCAATCTTCAAATCTTCGGTCTCAAGGTCCAAAGATTTGA